TGACGTTGTGTGTGCTTGCTCGGCATGCATTGGTTTTTCCAATGTGTCGCTCTCGGTCGCGGCCAAATTTATCACACACTTTTGGAATGTGAACAGCAGTGTTTTTGTTTCGTCTTCATTTCGAACGGCAATGCGATCACACACTCACCAGAGAGAAGTTAAAAAAAAGAGAGACAGAAAACATGCAGGTTCACATAAATAATGTGGACCGTTTTTTTCTTTCTTTATGAAGTGTTCGTTATATCTGTATCTTTGACTTGATTCCCTGGTATGACATCCAAACACTAAACAGTGATATAATTTTTTTATCGTTCGTTCGTTTGACTTTAATTTGAGCTCCGACTTTAATTCATCAACCACACTCCAACCGGCGACTATTGTTTTATGCATTTGATTTCCCGGCGCTGTTTTGTCATTTTTTTTTCCTGTATCTTCGGTTGTTGTTCCTTTGTTTCCCTCAATTGATGCATTTATTAAAAAAACAGACTGCGAACGATAAGAGTTAGCCGGCAATGGGATATTAAATTAAGGAGATACAATTGATATTTATGTTGCGATCACTATCTTTGGTCTCTCACCGCAAACACAATTATCTAATTGAAAATCTATTAATATCTTCATCAAGGATATTTTGAATGTGCTTCAATTGAAGATAGACTCTGGTACTTGGCTCAAATTCTGAAGAAAATGATTACATTTTTATTATTCTGAAGAAATTTCTGTCATTTTTATTGCATTCCGTCAATGTGTCTTCAATGTTTCACTTTGAAATATACCCAATCAGTATAAACATATCCAGAGATAGCTTCGAAGTCAAGGAATGATTATCTCATGAGCTCACAGAGTCCAATAGAGTCAAAAGTGCGTTGACACATGAAAATAATCCCACTCGTTTTAATCAAGGCATCGAAAGCGAATAAATTGATCATCAGGGTGCTTGGATTTCAATTAAAAATCAACCACTGTGCGCTGAAATGCAACTCAATTCAAATGGAATACACACCGAGACATCGATCGATGTCGCATTCAATCAAACAATCAATTGGCTTCACGAGAATCGAGCTGTGTATTTAATTCGAAGTCTGTAGCAATTAAAACCAACAGCAGATATATTTTTGCCATCACCACAAGCAAGTCATCAATGATGATGATGATGATGATGATGATGACTCACCATTTGTTCCAGAATTAAGAGCGTAATTCCTAAGCTAACGTTCAAAACAACCAATTCAGGAGGCACTAAAATAGCAACCAAATCATAAATATCCATTTCGAAAATGGCGTTTGAAGACCATTTGCAATTTTTACTCAAAAGCAAATACTTGCGAGACGTACGTGTCAAATAGTGACATAAACAAGATTTTACTAGATTTAAATCAGAATTTGAGAATGAACTCATCAGACAGTGTTGACAATTTGCAAATTATTTGTTGTATACTCGCATGTTTCGAGTGAAGAATACTCAAAAAGCGAAAAAGCCATCCATATGTTTGTTGCTATGATGTGATTTATTAATTCGGTCACATTCACTACTACGGCATATTTGTTAGCCGTTGTCAGCCGTTCTACTAATGTATGTTAACTGATTGCCGCCGATTAACGCGATTGATTGTGATATGATGCCAGCTGAGCGAAAATACGCATTCACATCTCATCAAATTAATGCTTGGCCATACAGTAAACGTACTATAAGCTGCTCTTACTTTCTTCCAGTCAATTCGCTTGTCGACTCAATTTCTAAGAGCCATTAATAAGCGTTGGAATAGAAACAGATCTAGTTTGACGAAAAATGAGAAGGAAAAACCATTTAACGGTAGCATTGTGTGCAAATTGAGTTTATTTATCAATGTGTGTGTGTGTGAGATAGAGAGATTTCATGCAGGAAATTCGGTTTCAGTCCGAGGAAGGAAAAAAACGAAATGAAAATCTGCGATTGAATAAATCATTTGAATTTCGTGATGTAAATAAATGAAATCACCGTCACTCAAACAGATTTGATTATCGTAGATTTCAAGGAGACAAACAATTAAGACAAGCTCAAGTCATGCATTCTATTAAAGTATAAGTCGCATGATTTGCAACTCACCGAAAAACTTTGTCTACTCACTGACTCTAGAATTTTCAGTGTAAATGAACACAGTTCTGTGCACATGGAGCACATTTGCGGGCTTGCTTTTGTGCTCTGTCTCTCTCACTCGATGTTGTAACGAAGCTTGATTGATCGTAATTAATTTCAGTGAGTTTTTCAATTAATTATAATTGCTTTAGTTAACGATCATTTTCAGTGGTTTTCATAATTGCACATTTTAGCGACCGATTCGATTCACTTGATACGGCGCGCACGATAGACATGGGAGCATGTTCGGTTGGTCGACCGATTCGGGCCGAATGCAATCAATGTTTTCAAGTGTTTGGTCGCATGAATATTATGGTCAACCATTTCGTAATGATATCTGATATTTCTCACGCTCTCAACAACCAGTTTCGGTTGGGGCAGTGACAAGTGATCCGATTTAAAGCTCACAAGCACACACATTTTCCCGAAGCAACCGTCAATTTGTGTGAGAGAATACTTGAGTGTCGCTGTTGCATTGATCCCTAGCAATTAATTCACTGTGTTACTCAATTTTTGCACATTGCGGAACGAATTTTGCGGCCAAAGTTGACAATATTTCTGGTTTTTGATTGTGATTCTAAGCGTTTGATGCAAGCGGCAGAATCGTCGCGATTGTGAGCGTTTAAACTGGTGATTTGCAGAACCACCGGAAATGAGTAGATTTTGGCAACGAATTTTTTGTTTCATAATTAAACCCAATTGAAATGGGTCTCACTGTTTTTCCCTGTATGGATCAACAGCCGGATCTCATTTATCGTGGCCTATTTCTGTGCTCCATACAGCGGAAATGATTCAAACGGAAATCAATTGAATGAACAACACAAAATCTGAATACATGAACGTTCGACAGAGATCAAAAACTCGAGCTCAATTCATGAATAATCGAGTTTTTGTTTCGATCGTGGAAAATGGGTTTTGGGGGAAAAAAGGATTGATGCTCTATCGGTTTTGAATTAGTATGTAAAACTAAAGAAAACAAAAATCGAAATTCAATTCGTGGTGCTCTTTTGATTTTAGCTCACCGTCCATTTCCATGAAAGTGGTTTTTAATCTCTTTCGCTTTTCTATGCCAGCAGCGCTCGCTCAGCAGATTCTTGTGACGAGGTTGCTACTTCAAAGCAATTGCTTTTGGGTTTGGCCCAGCAAATGGATTTAAAATAAAACTATTCGGCATATAAATTTGATACGAATTTCAAAAATAAACCCAAACGCTCGCAGCACATACTGAAATTGGGTATGGAAACACATGCTCTTTGTACCGTATTACATGTGAAACGATTTGGCTTAACGCATAAGTATCTAGATATAAATCATGTTTCGAAGCGACTGAAGACAGCAATCTCATTTTCAATTTTGATTCATGCCAAAGCGACTCTTTTTCGCTCGCTCTTTCGCTCTGCTCGGCACACTTCATTTGCATTTCAAACGAATTCGATTTAAATTCAAGTCAAAAAATTTGGCACAACCCGATTCCGGTGCCATGCGCTTCACTCACAAAGTTCAGAGGTTTGCCGTTTTTTCTTTTCGTCTACTCTCAACATAATTTCTTTTTTGCTTTCAATTATTGTTTCGATGCTCATCTTTCTTTTCCTTCTTCCTTTGGCTGCTTTGAGAGCACCGAGAATAAACTAAATAAGTTAAGGTCGTGCCGGCAATTTTGTCCTCTGGATAATGTTCCACACAGTAAGCTAATCAACTCAACTCATTATGGCAAATGGTTATATTGTTTTCGTTTCCCATTCCATCCGATTCCAATTATTTTAAATGCCTCCCGGATTTTCTCATCATCCAAAACAATCGCCGGCTTTCAATTTTTTGGCTCTTCCTTCTTTTTCACATTTTTCACTCGACTCTCCGTAATTTTTAATCTTGTTCAATAGAAACTGTTCTCTTTTTTTGTTGCGATGCAAAAAGGACAAGAAGTAGAAGGAGAAAAGTGGAGGAAGAAAAAAAAATGAACCAAGTAATTGCAAAAATTTTCTTTCGAAAAAGTTAATCTCTTTTCCACGTGATGAGGATAAAACAAACCATTTCAATTTGAACACACGCGCACGCAGAGAAAGCTCATCTCACTGCAAATATACTGACCGGCTTGCAATTCTCATGATACATTTTTCATTTGTTTTGTCAAGCCAACGAACGTGAACCACTTAATAATCACTTTTAACCATTTTTTGCGTCGGATGAAATGAAAAAAGGGACCAAAACTCAAAGTTGCGATTCTAATTATTTCGTTTTTTTTCACTCGTTCGTTCACGTTTTTTTTCTATTTTGAGCGTTATGCGTGGGATATAAGAACCCTATTTTTTATAATTTTTTTTCTATTTTCACTCTTGATGAACTTGTGTCCAGGAAAATGATTCACCCTTTCAAACTCAATATTAGTTTCGTTTCCTGAATAATTTACGAGATTATAAGCAAAACAAGCAGGAAAAATGCGTTGCACCCATTTACCAAATGAAAAGTTACAAATGAACGAAATAAAAAAAAACACAATGCCTGGGACAAATGTGACATGGAAAATATTTGTCTTGTGTCATATCAAAATGAGACAAAGTCACAGTTAACAGAAGAAAAAAAACCTCTCAAATTAGCGACAAGAAAAAAATTAAACAAATGATTTGTTTGGATGAAGTTGAACTTTAAAGGCGGATCATTGTCATATTTTCAGGCATTTTGTGCATTTATCAGCTCGCAAAGGGCTGTTTTTGCGTTTTTTTATTCAATGCGTATTTTATTCATGCGTCCAAATTAGAAACGAGCAGAAATGTGCAGAGGAAAAAAGCGAAAGAAACAATTCGATGATTTAGGAGTCATTCAAGGGATAGACTGAAAAAATCCAATTTTTGACTCCCATCAACATTTTCAAAATGAAACCCATCACTTCAATTTCAAACTTGCATGTTTTTATATATTTCAAATTAAATATCAATAGCAAAATAAAAATTTCAAGTTTTGGTTTGTCATTTAATTTAGTATTTATCTACAATGTTATCCGAATCGAGGAGATGTATTGTCATATCAACTCTTTTAGATGTCAAAAATTAAATATGTTTTTTTTCTGTTTTTCGCAAATTGCACCAACAAAATAAGGGCTCCGGTTTGTTTCCAACAGTTTTCCACGAATACTGTTTTCTGCATTGAATTCAAACAGTATGAAAAAAATTTGTTAATCAATCCTAAGCTAAACGCAATAGAGAGTCTTCATCATGGCATCCTTATATAAAAACACAGATAGAATGTATAAAAAAGACATAAAAATGGTTTAAGAAATTTATGCTTTTTCATCTGAGACGGCGGTGGTTCCTGAGACAGCCGATTGGTTGTCGTTGTATTGCTCGTCGTTGCATGTAAGACATGGGAACATCTTGAACAATGCTTGTCTGTATTTTGGATGGGAGATACCGTAAATGATTGGATTATAGACGGCGTTTGCCTTAGCGAACAATGATCCCCAGATGGTGGCCAATGGTGAAATTTGAGCCAAGCTGAAGATACCGGCGAAGTTGATGATCAAGTATGGGGTCCAGGCCATGAACCACAATGAGATGGTCATCAATGCAACCTTAGCCAAACGGCATTCAGCGCTGGTTTGTTGAGATTCCGACGAACGCAATGAAGCGACATTCATTTTCTTGGCTTGTTCACGCATGTTCTTTTCGTGAGCAGATACAGCCTGTGCGTCGGAAAAGGGACAAACGAAATGTGTGAGAGAGTGAATTGATGTCATACCGAAATGGTTTCGGTTCGAATATATTGAATGAATAATTTAAATGTTTGTTTTTTTACCTGGAGAATGTAGTAGTATGAGTAGATGATCAACAACAATGGAGAAGTGTAGACGAAGAAACTGTAGACCATGATGTATGAACGGCTCTTCAAATCTTTGGAGAGGTAGTCAGTACCGCAGGCAGTCATGTTGCCTTCTGGAACGTATCTGTTCCATCCAAACATTGGCAAGAGAGTCCATACGAGAGCGTTACCCCAGATTGCGGCAATGCGCAAAACAGCACCTCCGTTGGTCAATGGTTTGGCTGACAAACCCTTGACAATAACATTGTAACGGTCGAAAGCAATCATAGTCATAGTCCAGATAGATGTGCAGCCAAACAATGATCCCAACATGGCGTAGACTTCGCACATGCGTGCTATAAGTTGCAATGAGACGTCAGAGAATTAATTAATTATAATTTTCAATGGAAAAAGAAACAAATTTGTGAAGTAAATTATTGATTCCTTACGTCCAAAATGCCAGGTTTCGTAGTAGCAGTTGACGACCATTGGTGGTGACATAGTAGCCATCATTAAGAAATCAGAGAATGCCAAATTGACAATGAAGAGGTTGGATGGGGTACGGAGGTTCTTGGTCGTTGTGAATATAAGAAGGACACAACCGTTACCGATGGTAGAGATGAGACCGAGGATGACCATCCAAGCTCCCAAAATCGAGTGCCACAATGGGTTCATTGGTGGATATTGATACCAATGTGGATCGATAAGGTGCAACATATCAGCTGGCACCTTGTCTACAACCGTAAGGTTGCCACCGAATCCGCCACCAAGACCTTTGGTCAAGGCTTCGAAATGTGGTTCCATCAAAGCGGCCATTGTAGATTAAAATCTAGTTTATAACTTTTATATTCACTGTAAACAGAAGAGAAGAAAAGAAAAACTTAGAAAAAACTGAATACAATTTTCACAACTTAGACTATTTCGATGATGTGTACCAGTAGAAAGCCTGAAGAAAATCGCACTAACACGAACTACTTCAGTCTTGGAAAATTTCAAATTGCACTGAATTAAAACAGCTTGGTAGTTGATTTGTTCCGTAGGAGACCAAGGGACAACTCGATGCAATGAGCGATTTGCACGGCTTTTATACCATTTTTCCAACAAGCACCTAATTGAATTTGGTGCATTTTGCATAGAAAATGAAAAATCGATTGCAAGCAACGGTCACATTGACGATATGTTTATCAGTTTTTGCGATTCACATGTTGTGGCGATAATCAGTTTTTATTAAATTTAGACCTTTTGGAACAGACATTGTTTTTTTTTTCTTACTGTGTGCTACATGCAAAGGGTGTCATATTCTCGAGTTACTTAAACGTGATGACCTTCGAATTTTGCACCGAATCCAACTTCGTGTACACTGTAAACGTGTATCGAATCCACATTCGTTAGTATTGTAATACGCAAATCAATAATTATTAATATGAAAACATAACGAAGAGAATCGGTCAACAACAAAACATACGCTTTAATTGGATTTGAGAAGAAAAAAAACATTATTCAGTTAGTAGATTTGCAGAAGACCAAAAAATGTAGAGAAAAAGAAACACAAAAGTGCAAGCTCATCAAGAGTAAAACGGAAAAAATATGTTTCCTTCTTTTTTGCGTCAATTTCGTAAGTCGACCAAACTACATGTTAACATTTGCTTTGAACCAAATGATAACCACTCGACGTATTGACCATTTTGTTATTCACTTGAGCTCAACGTGTCCACTGCTTTTGGAGTGAGCATGGACATGGACAACCAAGTATACAAGTGGAAAAGTACCTGAGAATAGTCGTTATCAAATCAGATTCTAACGGAAAAAAATAGGAACAAAGCACAAAACTATAAGAATTAACTGTTGTGATTTAAATCATTTGTTACAATTTCGAATTGTTAATATTCTTGATAGAGCTCATTCCAAAGAAAGCATTTGAAAAAAACTAATTTAAGTTCTATTTTTTTTCTTAAGTTTCACTTTTTTAATTCACGCTTCAAGTCGAATTAGAGCATTGTTCCATAGCTTTTTTTCTCTCCAAAGTGTTTCTTGGCGCTATAATTTGTCATTTTACTAATTAAACGAAAATAAAAACGTTCATTTCAGCAATTATCCCGAGCTGGTAGTGATATGTGATGACATCGCATGAGTCATTCGTTCAAGTTAAAAATGTGTGAGTGTGTGTAAATTGCAGTTAATCTATTCGTTTAAACGATTTCAATTTCGAAGTGAAGGAATTTCATTTGATTGAATTTAATTCATTTGTTTATTCCGAGGTTTACACCAAACACTCTTCATCCTCACCAATACTGTGTTTTGCATGAAACCTCAACATCTTGTCTCGAATTACGATTTTGTCACTTTCTCACTCTCTCTCTCTCTCTCTCTCTCTCTCTCTCTCTCTCGCTAAAATGACCAATATCGGTTTGTGTTGAGATAAAGTGATGCAAGACGACCACATAATTGATTGCAATTACACACAATTGAAACGAAAATCGTGAACGCTTCTGTTTGCATTTGAAGACTTGGTTGTATTTTATTAGTGGTGGGTGTTGGAAAATCATCGATGCGCATCAATCATATTTCAATCTTCGTGTGACTCACACATTATTGCTTTGTGGCTATCTAACAGCTTATGAATGGACTAATTCAATTTGAAATGAAACTCGTCATGAAACAATTGCAATAAAAAGAATAAAAGAATGCAATTTAGACAGAGAGCAATGAACAATGCGGCATTCATGGAGAGATTATTTCAAAAACCAATAAAAATGAGTAGAATTTGTGAGAACGAGACCATTGATTTAGATTTAAAAGCAAATAATCGCGGCGCCAACGCCAATTTAAATGACAATTTTTTTTAAATGTTTACATGTGATTTAAAATCCATTTATTGGCCGGCTTGTGTGGTTCACAAGCTTGAAATCAGTTTAATGAATGCGTCATTCCGTGCTTAATTTGTATATATGCTCAGACAACGGAAGCGGTTAATCAATGGAAAGTTTGCTTTTGATGCGGTTTTACCGCCGCGTGCTCAACGGCACACGTCTTCATTTACTTTTCAATCTATATCCCGTTAACAAGGCCTATTTAGACCTTGCCTCTGACTTTGCTACAGACCGAAGAGAGAAAATCCACTCGTTCAATGCGAGTCGTTCTTTGTTCGAGCGGGCTAAATCTAAAATTCCATTGTTAATATTGACACAAGCATTTGCTACCCCAATTGAACGACTGAATTTAAGTCGTCTATTTACCGGTACATTAAACTATACTTTGCTTCGAAGCCATTGTGAATATACTCAGTCAACTTCCAATGAAGGTAAACATAAAATGGATTTTATATTTCGACCGAGCGCAAAAAAGCAGTGGATTCATATTCAAAAATCATTCGAAATCAATTTGGTGCGATGTCAAAACTCTTCGAATCGTATTAGTATTCAAAGCCACTCTGGCATTTAAAGTTGGCAAAGAAAATAGATAAAGCGATTAAAAGTCGTGTCAATCCTTGTGGGAATCATTAGAAACAAAGCAATTGAATGAAATGGTTTTTGAGAAGCAATTTGCCTCAAGGAAAAAAAAAACCCAGCACAATAAAAATACGAAATTCAGAAACGGTAACAACCGAAAAAATCAGTTAAAGAGGCTGCAGTGGCGAAACAAGTGCTCAATATTTCGCAAGGATTATCACACATTTTCGAAAATTGCACGTCGGTTTCGAATATTTATTTCATTTTATTGTTATTTCTATTACGAGGTAGCATATTAACAATTTTGAATATGAAACGATTATTGCCGACAAAATAAAATGAAATGAATGCTACTGCATTTACATAATTTCAATGTGGTTTGGTGCCGACCAACGACTGTTTGGCAAAAAACGATTTCGAATGACATTGTGCGGCGGGCGAAGAAAAAATCGTAATCAAAACCAAGAGGAAGTAATCGCATTCGCAACCAGTTGCGGAAAATTGTAACCTTTAGTCGGTGGGCGTTGATGGAATCGGGATTGCGTTTTGACAATTACGTCGACCACACATTCTAATTAAAGGATTAAGGCAACCCGTTTTCGTTTCAACCAAAAACCAAGATGAAAAATCTCAATATTCTCATTATCATTTACAAATCGGGCCGAAAATCAACCCCTCGCAATTTACGATGCGGTCGTGTATATCAGAAGTCACATTAAAGGATTACATCAAGACAATTTCGAAACAAAATGTTACACAATTCGGTTTTTTTGCTCTGCTCTTCTCTACCGTGTACACAATGGAAATGCCATTGATTTCACCGCATTTGCAAAACCGATTGAAAAGTCTGTGCCAAAGTGGTTTTTTCTAGCCCGTATAATGATACGGTACGAAACGATTTCGTGGCCCAAGATTGTAATCATTGGAGAGAAAATTACAGACTTTCAATTTTGTGTCGATTTTTGCTTCATAAAAAAACTCTTTATTCCACAATACGTTTCAGTTTTTTTCTCCTCGGCATTCATCGAAACGAGTTTTCAAACTTCAAATTGTTACTGAATTTTGCACGAGATGCGAACAACTTTCCAGTGTGCACGGAGAGAGAGAGAGAGAGAGAGAGAGCGAAACATCAAAAGGATTTCGTAAAATTTGTCTACTTATTTAAACATAATCAAAGGCTGGATATAAATTCAAGATTCATGAATGATAATCGTTTTATTATTTACAATGCTAATGGTTTTGAATGGAATTTTTCCATTATCATTTTCGAGTACACCAAACGAAAGCCGTCTCGTTGTGTGCTGCGCTCAAAGGATTATTTCAAAATGCTTGCAAATTACGCCAGAAATTACAGGTTGATCATCTGCTATCATTGAAACTTGTGCTCGTATCGATTTTGCTGCTGGCGTTCGAAACTTTTCACATAAGATACGGCGCATCGTTACGTCAAAACTTTTGGATTTCATCCATTTTCAACGCAGCAATTCAATTCGATCAATTTCCAACCGAATGCCAATAAATCCAATTAAAACTGTCGATGCCGCAAATCAAATTAAATGTTACAAATGGAACAGTGGACACATATTCACCACGATCAATTTAGATTTATGGACCAATGCGCAACAATTGAAACAAATTCGGTCGGCTTCTTTGATTCCCATTCTGGAAAACCACAACCACTCATATACATAATTTTGTAATGAAATTAAGAGAAAAACGCTTGAAATTTAATTATTTTTTTCGGTAAATTTTTCGACATTGAAATTGAAACAAATACCCACGAAGTCGGTACGAGTGAATGCAGAGAAAAAGATAGTTTGAAACAAATAGGTCTATGTAAAGTAAATTGCACCCACATAAACAACAACCGATCAATTGGGCAAGTTATTGATTGCCACACGCACGCAATCAAATTCAACAAACTGTGAACCGCATGTGGACAACGATGGGCATTGCTCTCGAGCGTTTCAATTGACTCGGCTCGGCATGGCTTAGGCAACATTGTTTGGTTGGTTTAGTTAAGATTTGGGTTTCAAAACATGGAATTTTAATTGATTTTCTCAGTTTTGAGAGAAAAAAAAATGCAAAAACTTACGTGTCATTTCTGTATGGAACAAAGTAAGAAGAAACCATTTTTCACTCGTTCATTTTGCATAACCAACGATTCGTAAATTTATGGTAAGCAAATTGTACGTTTTTTTTTCTTCATTCTTTGGAGTTTTATTTGTTAATATTTTTGGATTTCTTTGTTCATCTGATCAAATTGCAATTTGAATAAGAATTGTTACTACGTTCAATTTTTATAGTCATTAATTATTACTTTGCGAGTGAATAAAAAGTGTGATTTTTTTCGAAGTGTGATACGAAAACATTGATGTCATCTTTTTTAATGAATTTTTTTCAGATTTTTTTTTATTTCTATTTTCTAAAATTCCATATTTTTGCAACCATCCAGGAATACAAAGACCTTGGATTGAGATTTAACAAAGATCTTCTCTGAGTCCTTCAAAATTGAAAAAGATATACTCAAATCACTCGAAAATTCCACCCTTTTCCACAATCGGTAGCGCAAATTCTCTTTGTATGGTGCGTTTTTGTGCAAACATAAATATTGATTTAGCCTT